AAAAAGAGCTAAGATATTTTTTGAGTTAAAAAATCTAGACTCTGTAATTATTTCTCCTTGTTTATGTTTTCAGATGTGAATGTTTTTAGACTGTCACAAACTATGGTATGAATATATTACAAGTGCCACCAGACATGTCCTGAACTCTAGATTTTACATAAATCCSTAATCCCAAATGGCTGTGATAATTTTAAAAACTTTGAATAACAAAAATAATTCTTATATGAGTCTGCTCCAAACCTTTAGACCTGTCAGACACTGTCAGAATCCCTGCAGCTACTGCTCTGTAAAGTCAGTATGCTACTAATACAGAGATGCATTTTATTTTATTTTATTTTATTTTATTTTATTTTATTTTATTTTATTTTATTTTATTTTATATAAACAGCCAACCTGTAAGATTAATTCAAGTTCTGTAACCCCTGCTTCTGGACATGCTGTTCAAAATGAAAAGAATGGAGGAATGCTCTTCACACAGATTTTATCTTCTGCTCAGTGTAAGCTGTTTAAAAACATCCTTCTCAGGCTTTTAAATATGCCAAAATAGATATGACAGATATAATTAACGGAGGTTAAAAATGTATTTATAAYTGACTGTGGGCATTTTAAGTTCTATTCTTCCATACTTCCATGTCCTTCCAAATAAATACACAAATAGTGATATTTTTATAATCCTGACTACTACAAACATCTAAAAGAGAAGAAAATATAGATCTTATTAAATTCTAGCAATTGCAACTCAGATAAGTAATATTATTGAAACAAATAAGATGATTGTGTGAGTAGAATTTACAACATATGRGAAAGTCTGCAGTAGTTTCATCTCATAATTTATTTCCTTCAGAACCCAAACTTCTCTTGGTGATTTATCAGTTTCATGATCATAATTCCACCTCCCTGTTTTTTTTGTACAATTTAAAAGAAAAACTGAATGATACTATCATGTTGAGAGTTTATAACCAATTGACATATTTCTTTGGATGAATTGGTTTTGCTCTTTGAATATTTTTRCCCTTTAACTTACAAAGCTGTTATTTATAGCTTTTATAACAAGACCGAAACCATGACAGAAAGCCACATTTTACTATGTAGAACACCCAGTTCCCTTGTGCAGCTTTGTGTTTATTTCAATATGCTTGTGCAGCTGCATTCCCACAAAATGTGCAGAAAGACTCTATACTCACCCTAGCAGATTTCCAATACTAGTTGTTCAATCTGTTTCCCCTGAAGTCTGCAAGCAAAAGAGCAAAAGGCAAAACAAGTGGGGAACACTGGGCAAGGCTGAAGAATCAGTGAAGGTCATGTCTCAAAATAAGGAAATCAGAAGGGCTCCCTTATTTAGAAGGCCTATTTACTAGAGAAGTTAGTTTGTTAGTGAATATGTTGCTGAGAACTGAGACCTTCCTTCCCCAGTGCAACATTGTTCCTTTACTCATTTCTCCCTCCCATTTAATTTTTAAAAGTTCACTTTATTATAGTGCCCTTGTATRGGCATTCAATGATTAAAATACAAGTAAGTATTTATAATCTCATATAGGCATGCATTATGTAGTAATTCTTCTGTTCTACTTTATATGCAGTGCTTCATCCTAAACACAATTGTTTCGTCCAACCTTCCCAGCAATATATTCTCTCACATACAAACAAGACAACTCCTCCCCTCCTCCCCCAAAAGCCAGAAATGGACAAAAACCAAAACAAAAGAAAAACAGGAATATTTTGGAACAATTTTTAGCTAAGATTTCCTGCATTTAGTATTTCTGGCCATCAAATTAATGTTTTGAAAAAGCCTTTTCAAAAAACAGCAAGTTTAATGTTGTATGTCCTAATTCTGCAAATCTGTAACATATTGCCATCTACTGGTAAAAGAGACAAGAACATCAACTTTTGTGAATTAGGCATTARCACTGGAAATAGAAAACCCTCTCCTTTGGGCATTTATGAGTAATTTTATGTGTGCAGGGAGCTGCTGTGTAATTATAATGCAGTTTTATATAATGCTTGTTGAACAGCTATAAGCAATSTTCAAGCTATGAGCAATGAGCATCCAGTTCTTCCTAAGTGTGAAAGGTAATGTGGGATACAGTATGCAGGAGAAACATTGGCCTAATCAAATTCTTCCTTACTTGAAAAAATATATACATATACAGATATATACATTAAAATACCCTATATGCATATATACATCCTATGTGCATATATATGCCTATTGCATGCTGAAAGGGCATACTTAAAATGGCAGATTCCTGTACCCCTGATCTGGAAATATAAAGCAATAACCACTATCTCACAAGGCAAAAACCAAGAATGACCTTAGCTGTCCCACTGTACGAAACAGTTAAACTTTCAATTAATTTTTTTGCTAATTGATATTCGCCTCTTCCTCCACATGGAGGCACAAATGACCAAATGTTTTTTTGTTAGTAGGGAGCCAGTCAATGAAAGTCCAAGAGAAACACATTGATACAGTGATAACCATCCCTGCATTAGAAAGATATCAGTAAACTAGCATAGTCTCTGGCTTCATTGATGGGATAAAAATACATACTAAGTTTCAGTTATGTTGAGAACTAAATATTTGGTTATATAGTGTGCCTATATATATATATATAGGCACACTATATAATTTTATATATATGCTATAAAATCTATAGATAACTATTGGTTTTGAGAACAGCTATACACCTGTGTAAAACCTTAAAACATTGAACCCKCTTTGAATTACTCAGGTCATTCAAAGGTGATTATTTCCACTGTACAAATAGCTTCTAGGTTATATTTCTGCCAATTTCCCTTGTGAAACTTAGATTAACTATTTGACTACACAGCTGGTAATTTCAAAAGGCCTCTGTTAGCCAGGTGTGATGCAACTTCACGGACTGTAAAATGTCACACAAACTAATAATATACTGAAATATTAACTGAATGTCACAAAAAGCAGTAGTAAGAGTCAAAGGTAGAGAAACAGAAGGAACAAATGAAAATGAAAGAACAGATGCATGTAGACCTGGAGGATGATGCATAGGCTGCACATTGCAATTTAAATACTAAAGTTCCAGAATACGAAAGAAAATAAAAGAAAAAAAAAAAAAAAAGAACCAGCAGACTACTATCGAACCTCAAGCTACAAGGATATACATCCAGGGAGCAAATTATACTGCCTTAGTTCATTTAATTTAACTTAATTCACTGGGCCTTTTTTCCTTGCAACGGGCCAGATTCTGCCTAGACTTGGTGTCGGGAGGTTTAAGATACTTCTAGCTCCAACTTTGCTGGCTGCCAGAGCCACAGAGAGGTGAGCAGGGCAAGGACTATTTCTTTCTTCTATGTGGAAGGGAGAGAACAGAAGGCCACAAATCTGACTTTCTTTCACTTACAACAGCATCCAAGAGAGCGGCGTTAGGGATGTGTTTGGGCCTTTTGGAAGGACAATTCCTCTGAAAACAAGGTAAGTTTGAGATGCACATTGATTGCAGTGCAATCTGGCACCTTTCCTAAAACCCTTTCCTGTGCTGTGCAAAGCCACATTTCAGATGTTCGTATTTTTAACAACAATAACGAAAAGCATTTTCAGAACCAGGAAAGGGAAATTATAATATTAAAAAGCAATCTCCTTATGGAACAATGAGTTAGTTTTATATATATCAAGAACATAACTATGCTCAACCCCAGGACAACACAGTGCCGGGAACAGTAAAGTGGAACGGGAAACTTTTCATGCTCTGGAGAACTGGCTGGGTCGCTAAAACATCCTCAATTCTGGGCTGGGTTAAAGCCAAGATTTCTCAGTTCTTCTAATGAGAGAAAGAAGGAAGAGTATTTATGAAATTCATTTAGAACACTTTTTGTCTGGGTCAGAGCAGAGAATGACATGGCCAGACTCTTTCACCTCCTCAGACTGAYCAGCAACACATTTTTGAGGGGAACCTGTTTATGTCCATCTGTCTCAGAGAAAGCCTCGAAGAGGAAGTTTTGCTGCAGCTACTATAATCCCACCGGAAACTTTATTTCAGAAAAAAACAACTACTGTTGTCAACTGGGAATAAAGTAATAGGCTGTGAGGCTAAAAATAGTATTGATATTCTTAGTTCTGTCCTGTGTTCAAACTGTGACCTCTTGTAAGTCATTTAAAGATTTCTCAAATCCATGTGAATAACTTAGGAGGCTAAGCCTCTTAAAAGTTTCCATTGGGCAGGTACACTAAAAAATAGTGTTTCATTTCTTACACTGCCTTTGGTTTTCTCCTCTGCACAGCAGTGAATAGACATCTTTGCCAGTTCTTTAAAAAGAGTTATGGATATGACAGATATGTTAACGAGCTATTATCAGAAGTTGGTCACCTCTTGCTTTCTTTCAGCTTTCTGCCAGGGTCTGCCAAAACTGCTCWTAATATATTCACACTTTGAATGCATTCAGAAGAAAGTACATAACTCACTCAAGTGTTTTTATCTTGAGGGCAATGGTTCCTCTTAATCCATCAGTGTAGCTCAACGAGACTAATGCAGTATTCTACTGCAAACCATTATGAACATACCTTTCATTTTTATAATGCCTTTYATCCAAGAGAGATGGACCCCTAGGTGCTTTAGAGACTGCGTGGTATGGTGTGATAATAACAGTATATGGATCATTGCACTCATACTGAAATATAAACCCCTCTGGGTTGGAAAGCAGCACACATCTACCATTGCCAGGAACGCGATGTGATATATTAAGATAGAAATGAAGGCCATTTCATCCTCTTGTGACCACAGGTGAACGCAGGTGGGCCAAGACGTATTTTCTTGTGTTATAATTTAGCTAGGATACTACAATCAATAGTGTTAGAAATATGACCTGAATTTTAACCACTTCCAAGAACATGCTGCTGCTCATATCAGAGTCAGAAGGGAGCTAAAGATCTAGAAACCAAGGTTAGTTCTGCAGTAATCATGATCCCTGCAGAGTCCAGAATGACTCAGGGACTCCTCTGTGTGTTGCCAGGTCCATTTCCAACTCTAAAGAGCATCTGTGTAACACCCCAGGAGTGCATGGAGGGAGAGCTAGCTCTTCTCTCCAAGGAGATACAGCCAATTTTCATTCGCATTGCAATGCTGGAGACCAGTGATGTCACATTATTTCACGTACTCTCTGTAATTTCTTTGTCTACATCTCTAGCCCGTCATCCTACACTTAAAGTGCATAAACTTTGGGTTGACGTTATCCTTTCACTGATCCGAGTGTCTGTATATGACACAAACAAAAGCAGGAGAAAGACAGGGGAGGAGAGTAAAATAGAACTAATCCATGCATTTTSTTTAATTTTCAGTCTACTTATATTTTAAAATAAATACTGTACATTAAAAAAAGCAGTTTTACAGAATTATTATCACACTATCTCACAATGCTTTAACGCTGGAAACTGGATTCAGTTCTGCTACAGATTTTAGCACTATTTTGCAGACAAAGGCAATGGTTTTTTGCTGAGCAAAAATATGAGCTCAGTCATGTGTGACGTGTGCATGACTGAAATGCCTCTGTGCTGCTTCTTAAAGAGCTCATCTTAGCTTCATCAAGTGTCATCAGAAATGCTGGAAAACCACACAGGGATCCTCTCACTATATTTTGGCCCCAACTGGGAAAATAACAGCTTCACAGAGGCAAAGAAACCCCTACTCTGATTTAAGCCAGAGGCTCATCTCTTGTATAATTGTGGCCAGATGGAAACACCCCTAACGACTATGAAAGTGTCTGAGCTTGTCAGAAAGGCTGATTCTGCTCYCTATGAGCGTCGAAAATATAAATTTCATAAAAGTCACTAGAAAGATTGCTCTGAGGTACGCATCACATTTTAATGGCTCCAAGAGTTTCCAGCTCACCTAACCCACCTCTGTGCATGACTGAATGATTACATCAGGATTAGCTYAGATACCCTGGGAATATCCTTAATTCACAAAAAATTTGGAGGAGGGCTAAATCCACGAGTATTTAGAATTCTCTATTTGCTAAACTAACTAGATAAAGAGAGAAGAAGACTTAGTTGATCTAAGTATTTCGTTAATGTTTGCATCTGTAAATTCAGAGACTATATCAGAATTTATGGACGTTTCTTAGCTCTCTGACTTCTTGTTTTTATGATGATGATATAGACTGTATTGAAAACATCTTAACATCTTTCYGGACAATTTATCTCTAAAATTGTGCTTTATAACTTGTTTCTATTTTTGAACTTCAAGCAAGGATTATTTTTCATAATTCCTGAAGTAATGAGCTTCACTTAGCCCTCTACCTTCTTCTCACTGAATACTGCAACAACATGGTATCC